ACCTGAGCGCGAGTCCTCTTATAGTAAATGCTCGGGACCCTGGAAAACCCCTGGGGGCGCGCGGGTTCGATGGATGTGACCCCAGAGTCCCCCCCCCCCCTCGCTTCCAGCGAGTTTGAGGGTTGCTCTCACCCTTTGTCTCTGGGTGACTCTCTGTTTTGCCTCCGTCTGCTGCCTGTGGGGTCGGTGACACCTTCGACCCGGAGTCCTGCGAGTTTGGTTGCTCGTTGTGGCTCGGTTACCCAGTTGTGCTAACAAAGCGGGTGCGGGCAGCAGGGGCGTTGCACTTGAGCCTTGGTGGTGGCAACGTTCTCGTGGTTTCCTCCCCAGAAGCCCCGGGGCTGCCCCATTGTAGTTCGTTTTGGGACTTGGGGGTGTTGGTTGCTTCGGTTCCATCCACGCCCCCTTGTCTTTCCCCTGGATCACCCTTCCTGCCTGCATCCGGTTCCTTACCGGCTGTAGGTTCGGGGCAGGGTTTTTGGTGGTGTTGAGACTCAGGCAGTCTCGGGGAATTCCCCTTCCGGGGTAGTGACGGGGGCATTTGAGCCTGTTCCTCCAGCCGTGTTGTATGAGTCTGCCAGTGGGCTCCCTTCCTTCGTGTTTTCACGGCTGCCCCAGTTTTCTGGTACGGCCGGGGCTTTGGGGGAACGGCTCGGCCCCGGGGCCTGTCGTGTCGGTTCCCGGGGCTGGGGAGGGGCTGACTTGGGGGGCCTTGGCCCCGTTGGACCCCGTGGGGGTTTTTATTCCCCTCTAGGCGGGGCTTGTGGTTACGCGGAGTGGGGTCTTTCCTCCCCACTCGCCGTACGTGCTGTTGGGCGTCGGCCCCTCCCCGGGCTCGGTTCCTTGGCCTTTGAGTTGGTTGGTTCCGTCCTGTGGGTGGGTGTTTCCTCCCACCCCTTTTTGGGACGGTGTTTTCGTCATGTTTCCCCGTTCGATGTGGTTCTGCGTGACTTCTGATCTCGGGTGCGCCTGCGCCTTCGTGTGCCTTCAGGACTAGTGTTGGCTTCTGTGTTCTCGAGGGTACGGGAAGGTTTTTCGCTACTTCCCATATTATTGGAACGTCTGTCGGCTCCTCTTCCTTGTCGCCCTGTTGGGCTACTTGTCGCCCTGTTGGGCTCCTTGTCGCCCTGTTGGGCTACTTGTCGCCCTGTTGGGCTGCTTGTCGCCCTGTTGGGCTGCTTGTCGCCCGGTTGGGCTGCTTGTCGCCCGGTTGGGCTGCTTGTCACCCGGTTGGGTTCCTTTTTGGGCTCTTTGCTTCTTTGGCCGGTTTTATTGTTCCTGCTTCCTCTTTTGGCTACTTTTCTCGTGCAGTTGTCCTGGCTGGCGCCTTCCCGCACAGAGGGTGTGCGGTTCAGCCAGCGTGTTATGCGCCGTGGAGTTTGTTTTGGTCTGGGCGGTGTTTCAGTGCTGGTGTTTTGCGCCCTTTTTGCTACAGTGCTTCGCCTCTCGTTCTTCTCCCTGGCTGCGGTATGTGCCCCTTCGCGCCGGGGGTGTCCTGGTTCCCAGTTGTGGGGAGGACACCGCGGTTTTTCCCTGTGTCATGGGTGTGGACCGCCTCCTTCGCTTCTCCCTGCTCTCCTGCGGGTCCGGCAGGGTCCGGCTCTGGCGTCTTCACCTGGCGGTGCTCCCTGGTTCTTCTGGGCACGGTTGAGTCGTGTCAAGTTCGTGCCACCGTTCGCCAGGTGAGTTTCTGCGGTCTGGCGTCTTTTGGCCGGGCGCTGGATGCGGAGTTGTTTATATACCTGTCTTTATTTAGGTATATTTTTGTACGACTGAGACCGTTCGCACACCAGTGACTGTCCCTTTTTTCAACACTTCCTGTCCCCCTCATGTGCATGTCCAACCCATGCTGGAGTCATTCAGGGGACCCTCCTTTTTTAATGTTGTGAGGTGTGGGGGTTGTAGGGTTGGTTCTGTACTCACCTGGTAAGGCTCCTGGCTGTGCTTGCAGGATTTGAGCTCTGGCTCTTGGGTCCCGCCTATCTGGTAGAACTTGCGGGATAGTACCAGTGGAGTGCAGTGGTGCTATTGGCACATTTGGGGAACACTGTATTACCATCAGAGGTCTGTGCTTGTTACACGACCTACTTGCAAGCATAAGCCTTCTTGCTGGTTCGTCCGTGGACTTCCAGGGCGCACTAGCCTGTTTTCGTATGGCAGTTCCGGCCCGTCCTGGTTGTGGGGGTATGTGGGCCGGTGGACTGCTCCTAGCAGCTGCCTGGTGGGCCACCCTCTGGCCGGTCTAGCCTGGCCTTGGGCCGGGCTTGAGGTGTGAAAGAGCTCCCAGTACCTCATCCAGCAGGTATCGAGCGGGGTTTTCTCCGCCGTCGGTCGCCTGGTGCAGGTTTCTGGGCCTGCGGGGTTTTGTAATCTCCGTTGGCCCTGTCTGGGGTCTGCCTGCTCCGTTCTCTGCCTTTGCAGAAGGGAGTTGCTATTTACATGTTGCATGTTGCAGTGGTGCCTGTTGCTGCTGCTGCACGTGTGCATTGGTACTGTGTTTCACGGTGGCGTGTCCTTGTTCCTGTCTCCGGTTGTGGAGTGGCACTTTGCTGCCGTTTTGTGCCTGGGGATTGCGTTGGGGTTTTTCTGTCCCTGCCTGATTGTTCTCCTGGGGTTTTTGTGCTTCTGCTCTTTCTTCCTGCCTCCTCTGCAGCAGGGGTGTTCTGCGTGTGTTCTTAGGCGTTTGTCAGCCTGTGTCCTGTGATGTGCTTCCTTGTCTCGGTCTATTGCAGTTGTTCGTACCCCTTGGTTCGGGTACTGTTCTGGCGGCGACCCTTCCGCCTTCTTTGGTTTCCTAGCTTGCCCTGCCGGTTGTTTTTTTGGGGGTCTTGCGATGTCTCGCGTCGGACCCGTCGTTTCTGAACTCCTGGCGGGCTTGCATGCTTTGGGGAGTTTTTCTGTTCGGCAGACGTTCCATCTCCTTGTGCCGCCTGGGTTTCGGTGGTCGTGCCCGAGATCTTCCCGCGGCTCCGCCTTTTCCTGGGCTCGAAGGGGCCTTGTCGGGGCTGCTTATGTTCTGCCTCGCGGTCTCGCCTCCGGTTGGTGGTCGGGTTTTTTCGTGGTAGGTGTCCCACCTGCGTGCTTCTCTTGGCGGCAGTATGGGGTATTTTGGCGGTCCTTCCTTTTCCTGTCCCTTCTTAGGTGGTTACTCTTGTTAGCTTGGTTTACTCTCGGCTTGGTTTCCTGGTGGGGGTTGGGGCCGTCGTCTTGCCACATACTGTCGCCTCTTTTCGTGCGGCGCGGGCGGAACCGCTTCAGCTTGCTTTCGGTCTTGGTGTTGCTTCTGCACCGTTAGTCAGCTGTCTTGTGCGTCGTTTCACCTCCGGCCTGTTCGTGCGCCGCTTGCACAATCCAGGTCTCTGGTCAGCGTGCTCTGTCTTCTCCTCGGTTGGTAGTGCCCCTTCGGTTCTGGTGTGTTTTTTCGTCGGCTCTTTCCTTTTGGCCTTTGCCTCTGGGGGTTGAGTCGCTGAGTTTTCTTGCTCCTTCGGTTTTAGCGTTTTGGTTGTTCGGTGGCAGCAGTCTCCATCTTTTCTGGCGTGGGGTGGGGCTGCTGCGTTCTGGAGGGGTCCAGGGTTTGTTGGTGCTTCGTTGGTCGGGCCGGGGGTGTGTCGTTTTTTGTGTTCAGTGGCGGCCCTCCGCTGTTGTTTGCGTGCCATGGTGTTTGGGTCCGGAGCGCGTTTTGCGTTGATCCAGTTCTGTTCTTCCCAGTTCGCGGGTGATAGTGTCCCGGGTGGTCAGCCGTGTTCTTGCGGCTAAGCTGCCTGTGTTCTTCCCTCATGCCTGTGGCGTTCGTGGTTTCGCTGCTCTCGCTGCCGTCTGGGCGACGTGGCCTTGCGGTCTTTCGGGAATGGATTTTTGGTGTTCGTGCAGGGGCCTTGCTGCTCGTTGTTCTCGTGTTGTTCCCGGGACTTTTCGGGGCTGTGGCGCCTTGGGTTGGCGTTTGCTGCCGGTTGTCTCGCCTCCTTGGGGGGTGCGTGGTGTCCGCCTCCCGGTTCTGTCCCTTTGACCTTCCTCTGTGGGTAGTTAGCTCCGGGGAGCCGACGGGGCTCCCCCCAGAAAACCAGCGTTGAATGTAATGAAACACCATTTTCTGGGTGAGACCCGGAGGCTCCCCGGCAACCCTCCCTCCCTCCGGTCGGCGGTTTTTCGCGTGTTTTGACATCCAGCCTCAGAACTGATGGGTGGATAGCCGGCGTGGGAGGTCTGGGGCTCCCCCTTCCCCCTCCCGGGGAGGGGGGAGCTGCGCAGACAGCGGCGCAGTGACGTATGACGTCATACTAGTTTCCTTGTCTTCTGTTGAAGAGTTCTATCCACTAGTTCGGCTTTAGGTAGCAATTTTCACCAGAATAGGGGTTTGTTTTGGAATGCTTACCTTTCTGGATGCTTGACCCGGTCGATGGCAGACATAGAATGCTTCCAACTACACGGGGGTTTCTATAGGCCATTGCTCCCCTTGCCTCTCTGAGGGGGCCAGGTTCTGGCCGTGGTCCCCGGTAGGCCCTAGAACTCCATACACATGACTGATGCCAAAGTCTGACATTAGCATATCAGCCGGTAAAGCTCCGGGGAGCCTCCGGGTCTCGCCCAGAAAATGGCGTTTCATTACATTCAACGCTGGTTTTTTGAAAGTCAGTACAGGTATATTGTACTGTAATGTGTTTCTGTAGCTGCATGACGGTAAGTAGTACAATGCAATTTAGGCAGAACTGGGCAGGTTTCTTTGCCTCAAGGTGTCAGAGCTTTTTTTGAATGGCTAATACTTAACTGGGGGTGATCAAGTTTTCCATTCCCATTGTTTGAGTAAAGTTAGTGGGTTGACCCCTGACTAAGATAGTGCTATAGTTTGATGTGTTGATGATACAAACAAATCTTTTGTATCTGGCAGGTAAATAATGTAGAATACAGATGGACTTGACAGTATGACAAAGAAGTGTATATGTATGTGTGGTGTTTGTTTTCACTATCACCTGAAGCATCTGAAACAAACTTGCCTTCTACAGTTTGTAGGTAAGATAGCAGCTCAGCAAAAAGAAATGGAAGAGTTACGAGCTGGACGTTTAGGACCGTATGTACAGGCTCTCCATCCTCACACTGACTTGGAGAAATTGCCACTGCATACCCTCAAGGCTTTACAATCTCAACTTCGGCAAGATTTAGAATCCGTAGAAAAAGTAAGTTTGAAACTTAACCGGGTCATTTCATGCCGACAACAAATTAATTACAAATATTGTTGCATCTGTAATACATGCTGCTTATCAAATTACCTTTCTATGCTACCAGTTAAGTTAATGAAGTAAGTGGATAAAGATCTAGTCTCCTATTTCACACTCAAGTATTGTATGGAGAAAATATTGAGGCAGAGTCGTGGAGTCCTTGGGCTTATACACTACTAACTGAAGCATTAAACTCATCACGATCGAGTCAGTACGGTAGTGCATGTGCCTGGGAATTCCAAAGATGTGGGTTAGATCTGTCTTGCAGCCTCACTAGTTTATCATAGGTATTTCTTGTGGTCTCACTGTGTATTATATCATTATTTCTATATTGTAATGGAGTGTTGTTTTCCACAGGTTATAAACAATTATGGAAGTAAGGGCGAGCAGTGGCCTGGGTCAGGACCCACATGGTAAGACTGTAGTCACTTAGGCACAGTGGCCTTCGTCAGGATCCACTGAAAAGACTGTAGTCAGCTGGTGCAGTGGAATTGTGACACTGCACGAAAGCATTTTTGTCGCTGCTTCTGTTCGCCGGGACATCTTGTTACATTTTGTAGGAATATTGTTTATAGACTATTTTTGCACATTCATGATGAAAGTCAGTTTATAATTTATTCTCATTGTCTTTATTACAAGAATGAAAGACTTTAAAATGTGCATCAGTTTTCCCTTATGAGAAAACAAGAAGATAAATTCCTTGACTTTGTAAAGCACTCGTGTCACCTCCCTTGCCTTGCCATCTCTCGCAGCCATCAACCTGCTTGGTCAGATACTTCAGCTGTGCTCATCACGCTACATCAACAACAATGCCACAACACAAAGACGTTGTCTGGTGTCCTGCCATCGACCACCTTTCCCTCATCATTAAGATCTGTCACCTTTCCTCACATGCTTTCATAACCCAACTGATGACTGAGGATCATTTTATTTTTATTATCACTAAATATAATTTGTACTGTCATAGCCCTGTGATGGTCCTGGTCAGTGGTCAGTACTGTGATGGTCCTGGTCAGTGGTCAGTACTGTGATGGTCCTGGTCAGTGGTCAGTACTGTGATGGTCCTGGTCAGTGGTCAGTATTGTGATGGCTCTGGTCAGTGGTCAATACTGTGATGGTCATAGTCAGTGGTCAGTACTGTGATGGTCCTGGTCAGTACTGTGATGGTCCTGGTCAGTGGTCAGTACTGTGATGGTCCTGGTCAGTACTGTGATGGTCCTGGTCAGTGGTCAGTACTGTGATGGTCCTGGTCAGTGGTCAGTACTGTGATGGTCCTGGTCAGTGGTCAGTACTGTGATGGTCCTGGTCAGTGGTCAGTACTGTGATGGTCCTGGTCAGTGGTCAGTACTGTGATGGTCCTGGTCAGTGGTCAGTACTGTGATGGTCCTGGTCAGTGGTCAGTACTGTGATGGTCCTGGTCAGTGGTCAGTACTGTGATGGTCCTGGTCAGTGGTCAGTACTGTGATGGTCCTGGTCAGTGGTCAGTACTGTGATGGTCCTGGTCAGTGGTCAGTACTGTGATGGTCCTGGTCAGTGGTCAGTACTGTGATGGTCCTGGTCAGTGGTCAGTACTGTGATGGCCCTGGTCAGTGGTCAGTACTGTGATGGTCCTGGCCAGTGGTCAGTACTGTGATGGTCATGGTCAGTGGTCAGTACTGTGATGGTCCTGGTCAGTGGTCAGTACTGTGATGGTCCTGGCCAGTACTGTGATGGTCCTGGTCAGTGGTCAGTACTGTGATGGTCCTGGTCAGTACTGTGATGGTCCTGGTCAGTGGTCAGTACTGTGATGGTCCTGGTCAGTACTGTGATGGTCCTGGTCAGTGGTCAGTACTGTGATGGTCCTGGTCAGTACTGTGATGGTCATGGTCAGTGGTCAGTACTGTGATGGTCCTGGTCAGTACTGTGATGGTCCTGGTCAGTGGTCAGTACTGTGATGGTCCTGGTCAGTGGTCAGTACTGTGATGGTCCTGGTCAGTGGTCAGTACTGTGATGGCCCTGGTCAGTGGTCAGTACTGTGATGGTCCTGGTCAGTGGTCAGTAATGTGATGGTCCTGGTCAGTACTGTGATGGTCCTGGTCAGTACTGTGATGGTCCTGGTCAGTACTGTGATGGTCCTGGTCAGTGGTCAGTACTGTGATGGTCCTGGTCAGTGGTCAGTACTGTGATGGTCCTGGTCAGTGTTCAGTACTGTGATGGTCCTGGTCAGTGGTCAGTACTGTGATGGTCCTGGTCAGTGGTCAGTACTGTGATGGTCATGGTCAGTGGTCAGTACTGTGATGGTCCTGGTCAGTGGTCAGTACTGTGATGGTCCTGGTCAGTGGTCAGTACTGTGATGGTCCTGGTCAGTGGTCAGTACTGTGATGGTCCTGGTCAGTACTGTGATGGTCCTGGTCAGTACTGTGATGGTCCTGGTCAGTACTGTGATGGTCCTGGTCAGTGGTCAGTACTGTGATGGTCCTGGTCAGTGGTCAGTACTGTGATGGTCCTGGTCAGTGTTCAGTACTGTGATGGTCCTGGTCAGTGGTCAGTACTGTGATGGTCCTGGTCAGTGGTCAGTACTGTGATGGTCATGGTCAGTGGTCAGTACTGTGATGGTCCTGGTCAGTGGTTAGTACTGTGATGGTCCTGGTCAGTGGTTAGTACTGTGATGGTCCTGGTCAGTGGTCAGTACTGTGATGGTCCTGGTCAGTGGTCAGTACTGTGATGGTCCTGGCCAGTGGTCAGTACTGTGATGGTCCTGGCCAGTGGTCAGTACTGTGATGGTCCTGGTCAGTGGTCAATACTGTGATGGTCCTGGTCAGTGGTCAGTACTGTGATGGCCCTGGTCAGTGGTCAGTACTGTGATGGCCCTGGTCAGTGGTCAGTACTGTGATGGCCCTGGTCAGTGGTCAGTACTGTGATGGTCCTGGTCAGTACTGTGATGGCCCTGGTCAGTGGTCAGTACTGTGATGGTCCTGGCCAGTGGTCAGTACTGTGATGGTCCTGGCCAGTGGTCAGTACTGTGATGGTCCTGGTCAGTGGTCAGTACTGTGATGGCTCTGGTCAGTGGTCAGTACTGTGATGGTCCTGGTCAGTGGTCAGTACTGTGATGGTCCTGGTCAGTGGTCAGTACTGTGATGGCCCTGGTCAGTGGTCAGTACTGTGATGGCCCTGGTCAGTGGTCAGTACTGTGATGGCCCTGGTCAGTGGTCAGTACTGTGATGGCCCTGGTCAGTGGTCAGTACTGTGATGGACCTGGTCAGTGGTCAGTACTGTGATGGCCCTGGTCAGTGGTCAGTACTGTGATGGCTCTGGTCAGTACTGTGATGGTCCTGGTCAGTACTGTGATGGTCCTGGTCAGTACTGTGATGGTCCTGGTCAGTGGTCAGTACTGTGATGGTCCTGGTCAGTGGTCAGTACTGTGATGGCCCTGGTCAGTACTGTGATGGCCCTGGTCAGTACTGTGATGGCCCTGGTCAGTACTGTGATGGCCCTGGTCAGTACTGTGATGGCCCTGGTCAGTACTGTGATGGCCCTGGTCAGTACTGTGATGGCCCTGGTCAGTACTGTGATGGCCCTGGTCAGTGGTCAGTACTGTGATGGCCCTGGTCAGTACTGTGATGGCCCTGGTCAGTGGTCAGTACTGTGATGGCCCTGGTCAGTACTGTGATGGCCCTGGTCAGTACTGTGATGGCCCTGGTCAGTACTGTAGTGGGTGTGGTCTACTACTAAAAATATTTTTAACCAAAATTCTGCACTTTTCTTTTATCAAGTATGCACACAGGTGATGCAGGTATTCCAGACACTCTCCATAGATGTCATTACATTTGTGGTGAATAAATTTTTCAGTTTACACAGGCCAGTCCCACTTGTAGAGTAGATGCATTATGCTCAGATCCTACCATTCTTGTCTCTCTCTCACTCCATGTTTTCACCATTTTCACATGTTTTGTTAGCCAACAGACTCAGTGTTATTGCTCTGTGGTACAGTATGTGGTTGTGAGTATGTTGTTATGTGTGCGCTTGTGCTTGTAAGCATTAACATACAGTTTGCCAGCACCAACAGGAAACTCGAACATCTAAAGGAGAAAATCACTATGACTTGATTTCATATTGTGCAGTTGAGCCCTTTTTTAAGAGTTGTCTAAATAACAAATATATGTGACATATTGTCAGACCTAGTCAAGAGCCCATGTCAAATCATACCTTCTTGGCATTATATTTAGTATAATAAGAAATGTCTACTGTGAGCAATGGGGACTTGGGCATGTATTTGTAAATATGTGCTCAATGCAACAGTTTGTGTGAGAGGCTAACCTGGAGAATGATTCTAGCCCCATTATAAGTAGTCATGCAGTCGAGAAAAGCAAAATAAGTCCTAACGGATAATGATTTGGCTGTAGAGGGCTGTATAATCGAGTCTCTCTAACATCGGGGAGGTTTTCACCGAAAGGCAACGTAGTGATTGATTGACCTGTTGTGTCTTTGAAGACTCCGTTTTTTAGAGATAATTTTGTATACACTTGCAGCTGTTTCATGAAGTGGACAGTTGTTAGTCGCTGCCTAAGTTGGCACCTTCTGCCGCCGAGGTATTCAGACGACTGATTCAGTACAAAAACTGCAACAATGAAAGTCTCATTAGGGTAGAAAGATTACTGCATTTTTCATGTAACGTTGTACCTTGAACTGCATTGTGTGAAATGTGACACAGGGGTGCCGTGACACAAATTGACAACCTGCTCCCATCGACCATAGGCATTACCTTTAAAGCTAAAAGCAAGAATTAAAAACTGTTGCAATATGCATGTATTCTTCATAATACTGTATGTGGAAAGCCTATATTCTGTCTCAAACATATCCAAATTAATTCATGTAATTCCTAGCTTATGTCTGTTAGGAAGACAGTTTAGTTGGGGAATGCATGTTACATGGGATATTTGTTACTTATCATTAACCCCTGCATTGCACATAGCGCCTTAAGGCACTCGACGGGTGGTGCAAAAAAATGATTTCATTTAGCAATATTTTAATGTTTTTTTATGTTTTTTGCTGTTATTTGAAATTAGAGTTGAGTTTGTCAATATTTTGACATTTTTCCCTTTTTTTCAGTTAATGTTAATAATTCATTAACCCCCGTACCATGAAGTTGTTAGGTGAAACAGGTGCGCAGTGCAAAGGTTTAAGTTACCAGGTGACAAATAGTGTGAACTCTACAAATTTCAATCAGTAATGCTGCACGAGATGTGTAAGGCAGATTGGGTGATAGCAATACTGCACAAGATGTACAACATAGCCTGGATGACAGTACGTACTGTAATGCAGCATGAGATTTGTAACACAGTCTGTGTTGTAACTTAGAACGTGAAGTGTAACAGTCTTGGTGAGAGTAATGCAGCACAAGATGTGTGTGGCACAGGCTGGGTAACAGTAAAGCATCATGAGATGTACAACAGGTTTGTAAGTGGAGCATCGGAGCCAAGCTGTATCACTCTGGCATCTCTGCATCAACATTCCTCATTTTATAAAAATGCTGCCAAGTTGCAGATTTAATTTTTTCCCCCATTTTTTTTATTGTAATTGAAATCAAAACCCTCATTAGGTGATGAGATAAATATTTATATTTCTTAGATTAGTACAACAATTTTATATAACTTAAATGAAGCCATTTTTAACAAGGTGAGTGGTTGCAAGGATCTAGGCGGCAGCAGTGTTTGACGTGTTGATGTACAACCTTGCAGGGACTCAGCTGGTTAGGTTATCATTTTCTAGATAGGCTCACAATTGTTAAGGATCTTTTTTAGACCAAGGAACAAATGTTTGTCGTGTACATTTTAGGATTTTTCAATTATGTATTGTTAATAATAATGTAATGAGCAAGTGCAGTGCAGAATAAAAGTGGAAGTAGTCATGTGATTGACTTGGTTTTGAATTCAGTATTGTGAAGTGGCAGCCATTGTTTATGGTAGTGGCAGCCATTGTTTATGGTAGTGGCAGCCATTGTTTATGGTAGTGGCAGCCATTGTTTGTGGTAGTGGCAGCCATTGTTTATGGTAGTGGTGGCCATTGTTTATGGTAGTGGTGGCCATTGTTTATAGTAGTGGTGCTTCAGCCACAGCTTTAAATAATAGTAACAAAATATTGTGGTATCAATTTAGAAAATACCATACATTTATGATTAAATTTTTTCCAAATTTTCCAGCATACACGAGGTGTCCTCCAATATCAGCAAAGTTAGTGCTTGACATGGCTTACAAGTTATTGATATTGCATTGGGCAAACCTTTAAAGTTTGGGATGAGTGTGTGCCTTAGTCTGCAGAGCATTGTAGGTTATGGAACATTACTCGTGGCTTTGTTGTCACCAGCGACCCAGACTACCATCATTGGCTGTGTAAGACCACATAGGCTTCAGCTAGTAAAACCCGAGCTTTTCTCGCACCAACAAAAAGTCAAGCTTAATGTAGCTTAATAGAGAATAGTTATTACTTTTTTAATTTTAGAAAGAGCACATTTTCAAGTTATTAGAAACAAAGTAGCCTACAGTAGGAATATGAATACAGTACTATATTCACTTAAAGTGTTTATGGTTAACTCAACTGAGATACATTTTTCTAGTTGCACCAGTTCAGTGTCACATTTATAAATTTATAACTTGCAGCATAATTCCAACCTTAGATAAGTGAACATATAACTAATAACCTTTGAATACCCAAAGGTTATTTATTGGCACAGATCTAACAAGGCTGAGCCAACAATCAATGGGAGTTGATAGTGGTGATAGAGCGGTCAAGAACATAGTGTTTTCCTCCATGTATCCTCCCGAGTGAGCTGTCTTTTGTTGTGGCGAGGGTGGGTTCATGTGCACCGCCCACAGATGGTAGGGGATAACTCTTGCTCCCCCTCTCTTTTCTTCTGTGGTGGTGCCCCCATACATTGCTGTACATTACCTGTACATTCCCTGATGTTTCTCAGTGGCTATGGCTCTTTGCGGGGCAATGCACTTCTTTGGTCTGGGGACTGTGCTAAAGCCGGACGTTCAGTGTGGCCTCGCCTGTCTATCTAGATGTAGGGTCAAGTAGGTATTGTGAGGGTTGGTATCATTATCAGTCCCTGGGATGCTGTTCGACCCCTCGATGGTTACCCATGTATACTGTGCCGGTTAACCATGTGCTTGTGCCTCCCATTGTTGGGCTCCGTGATAGGTGGGATGAAGGGGGGCCACTGGACTGCAATTTTTTCTCTCTTTTCTGTTCATGTTTTCTTTTCGCAGACTCGTGAAGTGGGCAACCAGGCCCCCAGAGTTTGATAGTTTTGAAAGATCGGGTTCCCTAGCTCCGGCTGTGTCGGACCCACACCAGGCATTGTCTAAAACTACCTATTAAGTTCTTCCTTCCTTCCCTGCCTCTTACTTGGCAGGGCTGACTTTTGTGTCCCAGGTGATGTCTAACAATGTTAACACTTTCGCGCTCTCGGCGCTCAAAAAAAATCAATACCCTAGATGCTTTCGGCACTTCGCGCCCCTACGTGTAAGACCGAAAAAGTGTACACTCTTTTGACTGTCCTGACAATAATTGAAGGCGCACGTATTTAAATTTGGTATCACTGTGTTCGCAATGAAATTGTCTATAAGAGCATACCTATAAAATGCCGCCCAAGCATAAGGAGTATCAACACCAAATAAAAAACTATGCAGATCACTCGCCGAGAGCGCCAAACAGCAACAAAATGTTTCCACTCTCTTAATGGTTGCGAAGCCTACAGTTGTCCTACATCGCTAATTTTGGTATCATTGGAATCGCAATAAAATTCTCTACACGGACATATGCATATGAATGTTTAATATAGGTAATTGCCCACCCGCAAGAGTGTGGGAAGTGGAGAGTAGTTAGCCGCGAGCGCACTGGCGAAAACACAGGGGGGGAAATCATGCTTGGAAAGTTTATACATTTATACGTTTCCTGACCCTACTTTTCTATGTACGTATTTCTTTTTTATACCAATGTGTTCGCAATAAAATTTTCTATAAGATGAAATGTATAACATTTGTACAAAGCATGTGTAAGAGAAGCGCCAAATATAGAACCACGTCGCTCAGTATGCGTTCACGGCAGAAACGAACGCATTGTTTTCGTTCGTTTGATGTTTGTCATGTTTATACTTGTTGAAACATTTTATAATTTGTATGACAGTGATCGCAGTAAAATTCCCTACACAGACATATACATAACACATACAAATATTTCCCACGTGTTGGATATATCAACGGCTAAAGGGAACCCACTGCCACACGACCGCCACACCCAGAGCCACACCCGCCACACCCCCAAACATACTTTGTGTTTTTTTTTTTACTCATAGAAATTTATGTGATATAATATTCATTCTGGTACCAAAAAATTCGCAAATAAATTCTCTACAAAACGTATATAATATATCTTCTTATAGATAAAAAATTCCAAATAGGTGTACTTACCCTGTCTATGTTGATTGAAGATCAACAGTTGAGCATTTTTTCTTCACTCCATCTTCAGGCTTCTGATCCTGAAGTTGCTCATCTGATGTTTCTTAGGTGGAGTGAAGCTGTTGCCGGTGGTTATTTTTTCTCCACCCAAAATATCTTTCTTCGGTGGTACCTTGTGTAGCAAGGCGCAGCGCACAGTGCCACATCACAAGTTTTACATCCATATATCACGTCCCTCCTTTTGCCAGACTTGTAACAAACACGGCATCTTTTTTTTTTTAGCCAAGTGCACGAGTTCATGCGTCAACTTGTAGTTGAGACGTTGTTCTGAATCTATAATTCTTGTATTTTTTGGATTCACTGGAAGAATATTGTCTTCTACAGGAACCACCAAACTTGTAGTAGAATCTTCTATGAAATCAGAAACATCAAGTGGTTCTATGTCCTCAATGTCCATTTCAGAATTTGTGGTTGATGAGTGGGCTTTAGGTGTTGAGGTGAACAGAGGACGCCTAGCACCAGATGGCCCGGGTGTTGAAACTGCCGCGTCAGCAGGAGGAGCTGCGCTGGCATCTATGTCGGGAACATGTGGTATACTTGTTGTTGTTGGCCATTCCTTGCTGTTCCACGCCAATAAGGCTTTTATTCCTACTGCGTGAAACTCTAATAGTGTTAGTTTTTTTGTATCTGTTGAGTAGTGGTTATACAATGCGTATGCATTGTGCATGGCCATTTGCAGAAAATAGAAAGTGATCTTGGTCCATTTCTGGGTTTTTCTTGCAAACTCATAATATTTGACCATTTGATCAAAATGATCAACACCTTTCATGAACTTATTGTAATCCACTATGGCCTTGGGTTTGTTCATTTTCACAATTTCTACTCCAGTTCTCCCGTCACCTTTACGAACGCGTTTCCTGCGCTGTGCTTGAGTAGTGTCGGCATTGTGGATATTGGTGATGACAGACTTGTCATCAGCTTGTCCTTCCAAACTATAACAAAGGTGTTATCCTTACGCATGTATACGGTCGTGTCGGTTGCCATTTTACCCTTTACAACTTGTTGCAGATCCTTGGGGGCGCCACGTTGTAGTCTAAGTGTGCCACATGTGTAAACATGTGGAAGAACTTAGAAATGTGTTGGAACCGAGCAGACGACATAAACAAGTTGAAGAATCGACAATGCCACATCTGATTCGTCTGCCAGTACATCCTCATTGTAGGCATCTTCACTATGCCCATCAGTATGCACAGGGCCAAATATCGGGCCATTTATTTCACCGACACTGGTTTCCACGTTTTTCTTGCTGACTCAGCCATGAGATGTATGACGTGTGTGGCATGCAAATTTGTTTCATACTCTAAGTATTCAACCACTGCTCTAGTGAAAAATAATTGTAAAAACTGCAATGGAGTAGCAGGTAGTGGAATTGTTAGGCCAGGGGTTGCAGTAAAGTTATCAACGATGGGAGGAGTATTGCTACGATTCCACTCATCACCCAGCCTAGCCCTCTTTGGTACCGGACACGTGCGGTCACCGCGTGGCGGGGCTGGGGCTTCTTCATCACTCTCATCCTCACTCTCACTCGAAATATCTTCATCACTTGAGGAAACCTCATAAATAACATCATTTTCCGGTTCGTCAGCCTCCAAATCATCATCAGAAGACCCTGAAAAGGCTTCAACAACGTCGGGAATCTTGGATGGAGTGAGATTGACCCCACGATACAGATCGAAAATCCTGGCGATCTCTTCTGCTTTCCTAGATTTCCTACCTTTGTTTTGCGTTCCACTGCTTGTTCCTGGTGCAGCATCCATGTTGAAGGTATTGAATGGGTTTTAGGTGCACGAGAACGGAAACGGAACGGAAATAAATGCGTAAAACGGGTCACGTTTGCCGCGAGAGGGGAGCGCAGTGTGGGCACTTGGCGTGTCAACAAAACAATGGGCCGACCACGTGACTGGGTAGGCCGAGATGCCATGTGTTCGGTGAGGGAGAACGGGAATTTCATGGAGAACAATCTGAGAGTATCCCCATCCATTTCGGTTAAAAAATGGAATTTATAGAAATATTTTTTCGATTGACGAGAAAAGTAGGCAGTTATGCGGAATCGTAAGAAAAACCAGTGACGAGTTATCTCTAATCGAAAGCGCGAAAGTGTTAACTGGAGTGACCAATTTCTTGGTGGTTACTACAACACCTTTTGCTTCCCTCCTTCCACATTGCCCAAGGCCCCATACCCACCCTCGAGTACCCGCATTTCCTACGCCTACTATTATTACATTACAGGACCTGTTTGGCCCACCACTACATGACCCAAATACTTTGACGTATCCCGTGCTTACTATTCCTGCCCTGAAGATTTCCAAACAGACATTTCATTGATTCTGTAATGCTCAGGTTCAGTTTACTCCTATATGGACTAGCACCTGTATCATTGTGGATTTGTTCATCATTCATGTTTTCCTTCTCAATTCTTCCCTCTGTCTTATGGCCTTCTCCAGCATGTAACCGTTCAAGCCAGTATCCCTCCTCCATTCGCTTGTCCTCATATCACTCACTTGTTCTCCTACGTGAGGCAATTGTGGGTATCTCACAGTACAGTATCTTAATGCCACCATTCCTGTGTCTATCAGTTAACTGTAAACATGGTTATTCCGCCTCTACCTCCCCATTAGATAAAAAGGAATTAGTCCTTTCCCCTCCTTACACCTCTGTTATTACTCCTGTCTTCATTTTGGAACTTCTGACCCCACTATACATAGTCCCATTGCCCTGGTTTCTTCCTCTGATGCTGCCCCTTTTTCAGAGTGCATTATTGTTTGTCCCTCCTCAGCCTACCCCTCTTAGCCACCCCCTCCCCACTACCTTCAGTCTCTGCAGAACCTGTCAACTTGCCTGTACGCCTTTTCTGTGTATCTCTCAGCCCTGTTGTCTCAGCTGAGTTTGCCCATACCCCCAACCCTGATTTCTCTGATCTTGATTCTGATCCTACCTAGTTCTGTGCTTTTTTACATCATCTTTTCCCTTTCCTTTTGTCTTCTTGTCATAGCTGTTCTTTCCTTTGTCCTTTTCCCTTCCAGGTTCTGATGATTATTATGAGATGCTCTATAGGCTCCCTATGTGCTCCTTGCAATATTTGCTACATATCTTTAATTATAACTGGGTGTTATCTTCTGTCTCCATTGACTGGCTTGAGGCTGCTGGTTTTCCTGCATTGTACCTGGATGAGGTTCTGAGAGTTCTTCTACTCCCTATCCAGGGCCAGGCTCGACTTGTGAGAACTTGGTCAAGAACTTGTTGCTTGGGGCGGCCCACAGGCCCACATATTCACTACAGCCCAATTGGTCCAGCAACTCCTACAGAAAACTGTCCAGTTTATTCTTGAAGATTTCCATTTTTGTTCTGGTAATATTTCTTATACTGGGAGAATATTCAACAACCGTGGACCTCTGATATTCATACAGTGTTCTCTGATTGTGCCTATGACACCTACTCTTCATTGGCTCTATTCTGCATTTCCTTCCATATCTGTCTGTCCAGTATGTTGTTACATTACTGTGCAAATTTGGGACTTGGCCTTCCAGGCGAAGGGAAGGCCAAGGCCAGGCGCCTGACAGCTGGGTGGACAGAGCTTCACATTCGTAGTCCTAAGGTTCCGGGTTCGATCCCCGGTGGAGGTGGAGACAAATGGGCAAAATGTTTCTTTCGCCCTAATGCCCCTGTTACCTAGCAGTAAATAGGTACGTGGGAGTTAGACAGCTGCTACGGGCTGCTTCCTGGGGGGGGTGTGTAACAAAAAAAGGAGGCCTGGTTGAGGACCGGGCTGCGGGGACGCTAAGCCTCGAAATCATCTCAAGATAACCTCCAGTATCTTCCATGTACAGTATATATCATTTGGTGCCTCTCTCTCTCGTCTTCTTTCTAGAAATTACATTTTGAAAGCTTTGAGATAATCCCAATAGTTTAGGTACTTTATTGTGTCTGTGTGCTGTATTCCCTCTTATTTCAGCAATCTCTCCTGCTGTGAAGGAAGAAGTATGGAGCACAACTCAAGGCAGGACAGCACAAGTGATTTGAACAGTATGTGCATTGTGATATGATTCCTGGATTTG